CTTGTGAATCCTTAGTACATGTTATGTGAACAGACTGCAGAGCGTTATGCAGAAGAGCTTAATTAACCTCAGCTAGGGAAAGAAAAGGAAATCATAGAAGCTGTAGGGTAAAAAAAGATCATATTTAGACAAATAAGTGCAAATGACCTAGATGCATCAATTTTCTTAAGAGCTATGCAATGTGATCTGGATGCTGTCTGCAGAGACTGCAGGCTTGTGTCACTGCTCCCCGTGCTTGTTGTCCCGGTCTGTGCCTTGGGGCTTCTCCCACACCACCCCCGAAGTCCATACTAATCCTACCTGCTCTCATCCCATTTTCTCCAACATATGTCACCTTCCTCTTAGACATCATCAAAATGCAGAGCTGGGAAGGACCCCAGGAGATTAGCTATTCCCTTCGCAGGATTAAGTATACTCCGATCATCTCTGATAGATGTTTGTCTAACCTTATTTTTGAAACTCTCCATGGAATGCTGTCCCAAGACTTACCTATTTTGTCTGTTCTAGTGTTTAACTACTCCTAGAGCTAGAAAGATTTTTTTCCCATGTATCTAATCCCATTCTCCCTTGTGATAAATTAAGCCAGGCCTCAGTCGAAATGGAGAACAATTGATCACCAGCCTCCTTAGAAGAGAAGCAGCTTTCACATACTGGAATACCAGTAGTACATTCCTTTTTATTTATGTGCTTTCTAGATTAAACAACTCAATTTCTTTGGCCTTTCCCCATTAATCAGGTTTTGCGAGTCTTTTTTTGTGTTTTTATATTTTCTTGCTCTTACCCGATTTAACTACAAAAAATCATCTTGTATGGCACTCAAAATTGGACAGCGTAAACCAGCTAGTCGTCATCCTGACTTTAACTATGGGCAGGATAATATATACTACTATACTAATATAGCCAGCATATAAATGAAGGTAAATTCTATAGCTTCATAATTTCTTCCAATTCTCTCGTATGTTATGCTTGGGATAATCAGGAGTGACAGCAGCAGTCTGTCCCAGCTGCCACTTCTGCCCTTCCCTAAGCCTGAGCTCCTTTTGAGTGTGGCTACTTATATAGCTGATAAATCTCCACTTTGTGTATATGTATTTGCTTTGTCCTTCTGACATGTAGTACTTACACCAGTCTGTTTAAACAATCCATTTTCATCCTCAGCCACACATCTGCTTTCCTTTATCTTGTGTGTGCTTTGATTCAGCTTACGTGCTTGAAGAAAGGCAAGATAGTCCTGTGCTCGACAAAAATGGTGTACAGAACAACAAGGTTCATTTCTCAATACTGCTACAGGCTTTCTGTCTGCATCTTGCAGAAACCACACAAAGCAGCATTGCTTTCCTTCCCTGCATGGTTCTTCAAGTTCTATTCTCTTGTCCGCATGCCTAAAAAGCTTCTTAGAACAGGGGTTTGGTCTTGTTTGCTGTTCGTCTTTTATGTAGCCCAGATAAGTTCCTAAATTTTATTGAAATCAGTTACACTGTAACCTAAGTGCATTTGAAGATGCCCATGCTTCCTAAGGAGCTAAGTAATGTATGTTATTTAAGAGCTGTAGGAACATATGTGATAAAATATCCACAGATCAAATAATTGTCATGCTTCCCATACTATGGGTGTTAAAATTTAGTCATTTGGGAAATAATATCTATTTATTGAGTGTTGGCAAGAAGAGGGGAAGAAAGGAGAAGTGGTAGTAGGAAATGCCTAGCCCATTAAAAATTACATTATTCAGTTACAGTTATTAACCTGCTACATGGACTGAGCTTTCTTAAAACCAGGTGTGTACAAAGTGTCTTCCATGTGCAGACATGTGCTGTTCACTGAGATGTTTATGTGCTCTACCACTCTGTGAAAAATAAAGGGTCTCTTAAAAACTCAGGCTACCAGTGCTGGAGTTTATGGTCAGTGAGTGGGAATGGTCCTTCTTTTATGGGAGTACGAAAGAAGCGCATTGTTGGCACAGGGCAGCGACCCACGTTTGGGAGATGTCAGGCATGGACTTGCTCTGAGCTCTTTCGCTTTTCTGTACCTCTTTGAATGGTTTCATCTTCCTCCATGTCAGCACCTTTCTCTCCTCCCTCCACCCAAGGGCTGTTTCTTCACCAGAAAGTTCCTACCAAGCTGGAGACTGAGAGCTCTGGGGAGGTTAATGGGAGAAAAGATGATTCATTTCTTCTAGATTAATTATTGAAGTTTCTTCTCAAAATGAAAGTAAAAAGTGGCAGGCAGGAGCTTTGCGCTTATTGTCTTTCCCTCATTTGCCCCTATGCTTGCTAAACGCTTGAGGACAAAAACATGGTGTTTGTTCTTGTGTTTTCTGAAAACAGTCTTGATAGCTGAGCTTCTCTTTGCCACTATTGCATTCTCACCAACAATAATATATTCTGTGGGGCCATTTTATTTCCAAAAGCACTTGTATGATTCCATTATCTCCTCATTGCTCCTTCAGTAACTCCTAGGCAACACCATTATCTTCACATCCAATACTCAGCAACACCTGCAAAACACGGGAGCCTCTAAAACACACTCACAGGAGGCAGCGATTGTTCCTACTGCAGCCTTGGAGGGGAAACGTATGGAGCGGTTCAGTCAGACATGTCCAAACCCGATGTATTGTCCTCTGGAAGTTTAATGACAGAAAATGACAGCAAAAAGCTATTAAAACATTCACTAAGCACTAGTTATTAAAAATAGCTCATAATGTTTTCTAAGTCAAAATTGGAGAGATAAGAGGGGAAAAAATGCATTGAGTATGTGCAAGAAAAAAGCTAATGCACAGAGCCTTGTGTTTCCAGAGCCAGGTGAGAAAGAGGTTTGTGATTATTCTTGTAATACTTTTTATGAACAAATCTCTTCATAATCATGAATATTGCATAGAAAAGTATGTTTGATCCCACTTCACCCATCTCACTCACAAGCACAGTCTGTTTAGGGTTGTGTTTTGGAAGTTTTCATCAGCAGTGAGAAGAAGAATGGTTGCTGGTGTAGCTAATTTAAGGAGCACATCTTTTTTTCTAAGGAGATTTGTTATCAAGATTTTTTGAGCATGTGGTAAAGATAAATGCTATTTCCAAGAACTCATCCAAGACTCAAATTTAAACACAGTGCACAGTATTGATTTAATTGAGCCAGTTTAGTGTGATGTTGAGAGCCTTTTCTCAGCACTTCACTTGGCACAGAGGGAGAGGAAAGGAGCAATTGTCCAAGTTAGGACAAAACAGAAAAGATTTACTATTGCATATTCATCCTGAAATACCCTTTTCTTATGTTTTGGACAGCATCACTACTCAAAGCCTACATACTAGAGGAAGACACTTGTATAATGAATTTGTCAATGGAATTTTCTGCCCCCCTGAGCATTCCAGAGGAAGAAGCCAGGTTTTAAAGGCTCTGAGCTTCTGCTCAGTGCCCTGTCTCATCATAGTTAATACTGCCTGAAGATCTATGAGCAAGTTTGCTAAAAAAATTACAGCATACAATTTATTTTTCAAGATTAGTGATTTGTTTAAAATTATACCTACTGCTTATTTTTAAAAAAATCTTACTACTAAATCTTGAGTAAATAAATGCTGTACATTGATTTTATTTTTCCTCTTAAATGAATCCTTTGACGTAACATTTGTCTTTAGGGCACTCTCAAAAATCAAAAAGTATTTAACTTAAATTAATTTAATACACCTAAATATTGGCTTTTGCAAGTGGATAGAGGAAGGAAATCTTGATTGTGTGTTGCTAATTTTGGCTTTTTAAATATGTATGACTTGTAACTTGAATCACCTTACATAGTCATGACTATATAATTAACATTCTGTTTTCTGATGATGTTTTTTGTTATCTGTTCCTGTAAAGACATCGAGATGTGGGGCCAAGACTCCTCTTACGCCAGTATAAATCAGGAATAGTTCTAATAAAGGCAGTACAAATTTGGTGGGCAAAGCCAAAATACGTATGACAAGGGTAAGGAGGAAACCAGGAAATTATCTATATTTTACTGTGGTTTATCAGCATCCACAATTTCACATTTGTGATTGAACAGTTGACACAATAGATCTTAAAACACTTGTTTTTAGTGCCACCTCCATCTCCTGTTGCTGCCCAGCTGCCGTGAACACATGCCCTCCGCGCTTCTGCAGGAGAATCATGGTAGCTGATACACAGCACTGCAGCACGGCTGCCGCCAGCATGGAGCAGGGGTTGCACTGGGCATATCAAACAGCCACAGAGCTGTACGTGTTCTCATATGAGTTCTGAAAAATTCAAAATGAAGCTATTTTACTTTTCCCTTCCCAACACAGAGAAATGAGCTGTTGCTATAAAACAAGGGGTGGGAATATTCAGCTTAAAAGGGAGATGAAGATGAACAGGTTTGGTTGTAAAGGTTATAAATATCAAGGAGGGAAAAAGAAAAAAAAAATAAGCTGGATCAAGAGGTTAAAACCAGGGCGTAATGGGACAGAGATAGGTTAGGAGTTCTTTGAACTGAGAATCAGGGTGATTGTCTCACCAATGAGTTGTGTACGAATAGGAAGTGGAGAAGGGGCAGAGACCCATCTCCCCTGACTCCCAGAACACGTTTAGAAAACCAAGATCTGCACTGTCAAACATGTCCAAGCTGATTTTGCAAGATTTATGCTACCACAGAGCCTCCTTTGCAGCACAGGAATCCCATCATGCCTGTGGCCTGTATTTTCAGTTTCTTGTGCTATGGAACAGAACTTCCCATCATGGAAAGTGATGGATGTATGTTACCTACTCAAAGGCATTTCTTCATGCCTACAAGCAAAATTTTGCAGCGTGAGGATTTGCATTTTGTTCTTTTATGCCTGTGATCTACCCTATTTGTTTAGGTAGCATCAAAAGTATTCACAGTAGATGAGGCTTAAAGAATCCAACCAGGTTTCACCATTGCTTCTTTCTTTTCTTCAGCCCTCCCATGAATTCCCTGCTGAGTTCAGGCTCTGTAAGTATTTACGATCAATCCACTTCTCCTTTTCTCCCTGTAGGATCTGATACGAAGAGATATTCTGTATTACAAAGGTCGCATAGACATGGATAAATATGAAGTGGTGGATATAGAAGATGGGAGAGATGATGACTTCAATGTCAGCATGAAGAATGCCTTCAAACTTCATAACAAGGAGACTGAGGAAATGCACTTATTCTTTGCCAAGAAATTGGAGGAGAAGTTACGATGGCTTAGAGCTTTCAGAGAAGAAAGGAAGATGGTAAAAGAAGATGAAAAGATAGGTGAGGAATATGAAATGAATCTGAAAGGAGATTGTTGGTTAATGCCTAATTTAGCCCCAACTGTTGGAGAAGCCCACATTTTTTTTGTAGTAGAATTACAGTTCAACCTTGTTCAGCTGTCCTTGGTTGCTCTCATAGTCATAAATAGGTCTTTCCAATTCAATTACTATTATTTTTGGCCCTCAATAAACAAATTCTGCCCATAGCTTCAAGCCTGGACCTCTGTGGGTGTTGTGGGAGAAGAAAGTCTTTGGCCATCTGACTTCAGAGTCTCCTGGCTGCATCAGTTCTGCTCTGCTTAAGCACATCTCATGCAGGGAAGGAGGGTGACGAAGTCAGTGACTTACCAGCTGTGCCCTTCCCTCAGCATCAGCCCATAAATTGACTGTAACTGATGTCAGTTCAGGCTCAGTTTGTGTTGCTCAGCTGTAAAGCACTGGGCATATTTATGATACTGTATAAATAATAATGGGTCTAATCTTACTTTTCATACAGCCCCCTGCACAAGTGAGATTATAAAAAGGCCTGTCCTTTCAAGGAAGATTTGCTTTTCAGTAAAATACTTGCCCATACACACAGCTCACTGGGTGATGCTTTGCCACCTAGGGTGTTCCGTGTTTGCCAAACAGTGCAGAACATTCCCCCCTCCCCAAAAGAAAAAGAGGCTTTGTAAGCAATCTTCTGAATTGTGTTTGCCGTGTTCCCTTTTTCAGGCTTTGAAATTTCTGAAAATCAAAAGCGACAAGCGGCAATGACAGTAAAGAAAGTCAGTAAGCAAAAAGGTAACCGGCAACATGCACTGTGCCTGGTGATGTGAGGGTGGAGTGGGCTGGGCTGAATCCTGCTGGGTTAGGATCCAGCATCCCCCTTGAATTTTCCCCTCCCCTTTCTCTTTTTTTTATAAAATACCGTTTGTGCTTTGTATCCTTTCTTAATGTATCTGTGGGCCAAATTAATCTCTGGTCTAATGTGATTGAAGCCAGTGGAATTTCACCAGAGATTAATTCGGTCTCGTGTCTCCAGTCTGATGTCCAGAAGCTGTCCCTGGGGGCAGAAATCTCTCTCACTTGTTTATCTCAGGCTGAAATGGGAGTGAGTGCGGAGATACGTAGGGGTATGCTAATTCCCAAAGTCTCCCATTAGCGAAGAAAGAAAGAAAAAGCTGGCTAAAATACTGGAGATGGTGAGGGATCTACTCCTTTCCTCCTTTTGGAAAGGGGAAACTCATGTTTCCTGGGGCTACCTGTAACTTTTTAAGGACAACACAGTAGCATCAGCTCCAGGAAATAAAGTACCTTAGTAAAGACATTATATCTCTCTGATGTCACATTCATTTCCCCACCCAGGCAGGCTACAGCCAACTAGTAAATGCCATGCTAGATATTAAACAGTCTCAACTGGCAAAACAGCCAGTGTTAATTATCTCTCGCAATAACTCTTGCAGCTACAGGTTTTGAAATAATAAATAGGGAGAGAAGGTCAGAGAGGTCATTTTTCAAGTTTCCCACAGCTTCACAAAGTCGTAGACATACTGATTGTTACCAAAGTACCGTGGCACGACTAGACCTATAAAAATGGGGTTTGAGAGAACTCATCACTTCTTGGCTATAGTCAGTTCCAGGCAGATTCATCCCTGCATTGCACAGGCATTGGGTTGTTTTTTGCAAAAGTTGAAGGAGCTCTTTGCTTTCTGCCTCACCTGTTTGTTGTCTACTGGCTTTGCTGGTCCAGTAGTGGTTTGCTAGGCCAACTGTAAACACCTTGGTGTGCTGTGTCTCTCCACTGTCATTAGTCTTCTCTCTACAAACTTCCTTTGTTGTCTTCTGAGATGTTCTCTAAAAACTCTCCTGGCCAGATTTTCTAAGCTCAAAGTAGGTGCACACCCACAAATGGGCCCAGGGATGCGTATCTTACGCAGCGTACGTGTAGTTGAGGCAGTAGCGGACGCTGTCACGAGCTCAGTTTTGCAGATTCCCCCTCACCACTTGCATGCTTGTCCCTCAGCACACAAGCAACCACGGAGATTATGGCAACTGGAAAACTGGAGAAACTGACTTGCATGATGGCCATGACAAAACCAGTTTAAATTATGAATTTGCTGTAATTATATTATTAATTAAGGTATTAATTAATAAATAATGGTACTGTTCAGTCCTTAAGTGACACAGTTCAAAGGTGCCTGAGCATGCCTACCAGTATTCCCACTTAAATCACTGGACTCACACCCTGACAAATATAATATGCCTAACCATACTTATTTCTTGTTACTTATTGCTCTCTTGTTTTCTCTCTTTCTCTCTCTTCCTCTCTGAGATGAAAAAGGAGGGGCTATTATCTTAGACTTCTCTGACTGTAAAATTAATTAGCTCCTAAAACACTAGTCAGCATTTCTTTTATGAAGAACAAACTTATGCTGTAACACTGGCAGTTCTTTTTATGAGATGACATCCTCGAGTCAGACGGAAATGCAGTCAGACCCCAAGCATCAAACTAAGCAAAGCCTGGTTGTTTTACTTATGATGTGAAATCTGAAAACAACAAATAGGATCGTTAAATTAGTAGCTCTGTTTCTTTTGTCCTGCACTGTGGTAATCATAGCCCAGTCTCAGATTAATTAAATTAAGTACCGGCACTGAACGTTTTGCTGAAAATTCTTAGTTTTCTTACTCTGTGGTTTGTCTGGTGCCCATGACCCAAAGAGAGGCACGAGGCTGCTGGAGCAGGGAGCTGGTGGCATTGCTCAGAAGAGGGAGGTAGGAGGAAATTCCTGAGCGTTGGCTTTTAGCGACTGATTTTTTGAATCTTGCCTTATGCATTTTACATATATGGCCAACAGTTTTCTTGCCAAAGACTTTGGAAGGCACCTGGGGCTGTGTTGCTGAGGCAGCTCTGGGGCTGGGACCAGGCAGACGGGTGAGCCTGTACCAGAAGGCTGCTGCCTGCAGGCATCGCGTGCTGCCTCTGCCCTCCCGGCACAGCTTCCCCCGGGGCTTCAAGATGGGTTTGGAGTATCAGTTATACCAGGAAGGCAGCGAAGCCCTTTAGGGGTAGGAATACTTCCACTGCATTCAACTGAACTGTTTACTCGTTTAAATTTACAGACTTTGCGGGACAGATCTCAGTGGCTACAGCGGGGCTTGATGACTCCATAGCCCGACCTGACGTGTTGAGAGCTCTGCTTCCATGTCAGCGGATGCCTATTACAGACTTGTTTCTAGATTATCTCAGTTGTTCCCTCCACCTCTTAAATGGGAAACCATGGTAATTTCCCTGTCACAGAATACTTAAGGAAGAGAGAAAAGGCATGAAGGAGGTGAAATGGAAAATGCAATCAACTTTGTTAGAGGTGAAGCAGAAAACCATTTTTCAAATAGTATAAACTGCTGCTTATTTCATGCACTGTTGTACCACACCTCCTAGAAGTATTACTCTGGAGCTGGCTGGAGTGCATTTGGGAAGGCAGCATTTAAACTACTACTCGGCTGTAGCAGGTGAGGGAGAGGTGCTGAGACATCAGCTGATAGCGGCAGAAGAAACTTTAAAACTGTGCTTTTTAGACTAGTGGAAACTTTATCCAGGTGATTAGGAGAGAACGCAACTCTCAGTGTTTTGAGAAGATTTTTCACCCCCAAATGAGGGCCCTCTGTGGGGCACAAGTCAGACCCCTCTGGAAGGAACGCCCTCCTAACACTGACATCTGCGCAGAAATGCGTGCACACATGCAGTGCCAGGCTTCCTTCCAAACTGATTTAATGATGCACAAGGTCAGATTTCAGCAATATACTGGGATTTGCACTACTTATTGGATTGGCAAAATGTAATGATATTAGACCAGATGCCTTAAGACAGCATTAAACCAAATTTTGGCCTCCTTTAAGTCCATTAGACATAAAGTAAATGGGTAGTATTGGCTCTGCACCTTACCAAGAGATAGAGAAAAGGGCTGTTTGTTGTTGTTTTTTTCTTTTTGCATTGATTGTTCAAGATTTTGCCTCTCAGTTACTGCCCTTTAGCCTCTTTCAATGTCAGTGTGGTAACTGGGAATAGAATTCAGTGTGGTGTCTCCTAGAAATAGTAAAGCAACAGAAAAATTTATTTGTCTTGACTTACAAAAACAACAAAAAACCCCACAGCCCTTTTTAAGCTACGGCCAATTGAGTGTGCAACTTTTCTGCAGACAAGTCCAAGTACCACTGAGGAGTTTCACTGCCCGCGTTGACACTCCATTAGATACACTGAGTTGTGCTTCCAGAACTGTGCTCATTACTGGCTAAAGCAGTAAGACTAAAAGTCCCCTGAAAATGCATCCCTTGTGGATCTCCAGTCCGTCCTTAACATAGACACAGGATTATCCAGAGTACTTTTCCCATTTCTAAACGTTTGAAAACAGAAGGCTCCTTTAGTGTCTTTATCCAGCAAGGGCTTCTGTTCTGCTAGCCACTTCTAATCTCCCCTCCAATGATTAGTGTTTGCAGCTTTCAGAAACGTTCAGTTACTTTTTTGATCCCCAGCTTTGTCCACGTCTGTCCCCGGGGAGGACAGTGTGTACACATAAAGGATTTTTGTTCCTAGAAGCCGTCAGCCAGGGGTGTCAGGGGGATTAGAGGTTCCAGTAGCCCAGAAGGAGACCTCATTCTTAAAGCACTGTTTCCCACTAATGTTTCCATTTTAGAAAATGAAATATTTGTTCAAATTTAAAGAAGTGACCTTAGTGCTCAGTGGGAGGGTTTCCCACCCCAGGAGAGCTCTTCAGACCCGTGCTACAAGCCAGATCCTTCTCTGTCCTGTGCGTTCTCCTCTGCACTGTGCCACAGCTTCACCAAAGCACATGCCCTCAGCCCAGACAAGTCTTTAGTCTGGTAGTCTGGGACTTGAAGAAGGAGGGAAACATGTATTTTATCACTATCACCCCTAGCCCTGAGCTTAGAAGGATGCTGTTGTTAAATCTGCCCATAAATACTCAGCTATGCAAACCCAGCAGGAGTTAAATCATCAGCCAGCATGAACTGCTTTGGTCTGCAGTAAAACACCCTCTGAATCACTGAATTTTTCTGTTAATTTCTTCTTTTCTGATCACTTGAGCTTACAGTGAACTATGTCATAAAAACCCCTGACCCAAACACACAACAGCTTTTCTCTGACTTCTCACATTTCTGGACTTCAAGCTCTCCCCCAGCAAGCCTACATAGCAAAATGAGATGACTTTATGTTAGTGTACTTGTGCTGGCTTCATCCAGCTGGCGAGCACAGCTCTTACCAGGCAACAGAGTCTGTAGGTACCTCCTGTGGTTTTCCCAAGCTTTTAAGCCTATTTTATTGCATCTTCATTGCCAACAAGATTGACGTGGCCCCGACATGTTTCCCCGTCCTGTTCACACATGTAGGCATAGCCTTGAGGGGAACTAAAGAGACAGCAACACATAGACCAACCACTTTAAAACAGAGGGGCATTTGCATTTTCAGATAATCAGGGTCACTTGCCTTTTTTCACAGGGCTTCATACAGCGAAGGTGAAAGAATGGAGCTAATCATGTTCCTGGTGGTATTTCCTCACAGATTCAGGGAAATCACAGAACTTAATCCCATTGCTTGTAAAATACAGACCCTACCCAAAGCCTCCAAAACACAGGCGTTACGCAGTGCTCATCTGCAGCTCGCCCCAGCACTCCGTGCTTTGGGTCCACAAGCATTAGTCCCACTGATGACAGCATGGATAGATGGCTCCTCACTCAAGGCATTAGTAACCCAGCTGGAGTCAGTAGTGTCATCAGAGATCCAGCCA